AGCAAGCAACTTCCTTTTTCATTCCTCAGTCTAGTCTCCAAGTTAATCCTGAACTTGCATGCAACCCAATGTGAATCAAATAAAAAAGGAAAATAGTAATTACACTGAATCAAAAATTTTGTTTGTACGTTCTAACTAGAGTGAGCGGCCAAAACCAGAAGTTTTACAGTAACACTTCAGTATCATTTCTAGAGTCACAAGTTCAGTGGCTCATTTAGACCCTTCTACCTTCAAGAGAAGCAAAAATGTTGACTCCAGTAGATCACAAATACATTCCCAAACACACACTCCATAACGCAGTGATGCATCTACTTAAGGTAGAAAAAGAAGACTTTACAAATCTTGAAATACAGATGCCGTGTGTCTTAAATACAATGACCAATTCAACATCAAAACAGAAATTGGTACTACCTCTTCAACACACTGCTTTTGTTAAGTGCTAACACACTGCTTCTGATTTATAGTGACCCTGCAGAGGGTTTCCCAGGAGCGGCTGGTAGGCTTGAATCACTGACCTTGCAGTTAGCAATCCAGTGCTTATACCACAGCACCACTTCAGGATACCTGCAATTACCAAAACCTGTTCATATATGTGTGTGGGGGTGTATGTGTGCCAGTACACATGGGTGTGTATGTATATGAACAAACTCACAGGTGTACTGCTCACGAACACTAATAGCAATGTTGTTAATGCCACTGAAGTCAGTTCCGACCAATAGTGACCCTCTAGAGGGTTTCCACGGAGCGACTGGTAAGCTTGAACCACCAACCTTGCAGTTCAAACAGACTTTGTAGTCCAGCGCATTAACCCATAGCACCACACCTGGACTCCATTAATAGCAACAGGAAACAAAAATGGCAGAATCACAACCAGTGACACCCAGTTCTCCTTGGCATCATTCAATGTCACTCTGGCAAGTGCAAGAAGGTTTCTCACCAACTGCCTCAGTCTTAAAGACAATTTCAGCAAAGAACAGATTGATTATCAAGTACCAATTACGGAGTGCCCTTTTATTCTTTTATGGAGGGAAACACAATGAAAATGGATGGATTTTTTAATTGCTTATCATCAGTAACATTATTAATTTTTACTAATGAACGAGCATGAATTTCTGAATACGCTAGTCCCAAATCCCATCTTCCTAGGAACTCACTGGACACTCCCTTCTGTCTTATCATCTACCACATTGTATTCCAATTCTTTGTGTGTGTCTGGCTTATCTCCCAGCTACTCCTGAAAGGTGTTGGTGGCAGAGGCCTCACCACCCCTCCTTCCTGCCTTAGCTGCTAATATTGTTAAGTGCTACAGAACAGCTTCTGTCTCATAGTGACCCTCTATACGGTTTCTAAGGAATAACTGGTGAGGCTGATCAGCCAACCTTGTGGTTAGTGTTGTTGTTAAGAGCTGTCAAGTAGGTTCCCACACACAGAGACTCTGTATAGGGTTTCTGAGGAGCGGCTGATAGGCTTGAACCACTGACCTTGTGTTTAGCAATCCAGTGCTTATCCTACAGTTCCACACCAGGCACTGTATGAGGCTTCAAAAAGTTTGTGGAAAAACACACTGCTATGGAGTCCTGGTGTTGCGCTGTGAACTAATGCGCCAGACTGCAAAGCCATTTGAACTGCAAGGTTGGCAGTTCAAGCTCACCAGTCACTCCTCGGAAACCCTATACAGGGCCGCTATGGGTCGGAACCGACTCGACGGCACTTCACAACAACAATGGTTTGTTGTTATTAAGTGCCAGTCGAGTGGGTTCCAACTCACAGTGACCCTGTAGATGGTTTCCAAAGAGTGGTTGGTGGGTTTGAACCACCAACCTTGCTTTTAGTAGTAGTTCAGTGCTTATCCTATAGCGCCACACCAGGTTGGATCTGCCCAATGAACTCTAAACTGAAACACACCCTTTGTTTTGCTGTTGTTGTTGAGTGCCGTGGAGTAGGTTCCGACTCATAGCAACTCTGTATAGGGTTTCCAGGGAGTGTCTAGTGAGCTGGAACCCCCAACCTTGTGGTTCAAACCAACCTTGCAGTCCAGTGCATTAACCCTCAGCACCACACCAGGATCCCTTTTGTGTTAAGGATCCCTTTTGATCATGGCATGTGGACTCCCCATTATTTGAGAAGTACAGGTCAAGTGGATATAGGCAATGCAGGGCTTTGGTTGGGGCTCCGCCAATATGCTGCACTTCCCAACACCCTTGACAGCACATCAAATTATCTTAATTATGATCTCTAACGACTGAGACTCCTTTAGAACACAGTGGATTCTAAAGCCTGTTCAAAGCTCTGCAAGGCAAGTGCAAGGTCGGTCATAAGGAAGAAAACCTTCAACTTGGGCTAGGCCTGGGGTTCAATGAGCTAGGCATGCAGGCTCTTTTGTCTTACAAACAATCCTGGATGTTTGTTTGCATTAAAAAATATCTATGTCCTCCCCCCAGGGAAAGGGACTGGCAATTAATTCATTCAGACATAGGCTGGATACAAATCACTATAGTTTGTCCCCCACCAAGGAAAAAAAAATGACCAGAAATCTGAATTTAGGTCAGGGAATATATAAGGCTACTAATGTATGCATGTAGAGAGGCCAGGGCAGTGGTAAAGATTACCCCTATTTCTATCCGGGCCTGGCGCTAGGTATTGACTTGGGTCTCTCTGTGTTGTGACAGTGCCCTAGACTCAAATGAATGCCTTGAACACTCCACATTTTTGAGCCATTCAGTCATGCATTTTTGTTATTGTTGAAAGTGGTGCGAAATTGCACTGCATGAGCTAAAGTCCTTGGTGGTCTTCCAAGGATTCCAGCTAAAAAGGCACTTCCTTTGTTCCTCAGGAGAATGCAGTCCAGTAGGTCATTCAAAAGGGGAAATAAAAGCAGCGGCCCTGGGAGGGAGATGAAGGACAAGACAAAAAGAATAAAATGTTTGGGGTGTGAGCACATTAGCTTCCATTTCCTGCTGCTGGCCACTAATAACTCCCCTATCTTGGGGGGGGTGCCACACAACACCCCCCCCCCACAGACACAGAGACGAAAATATTCCTCAGGTGTTTTCTGAAAGCAATGACCATCACCAGCAGCACCAAACAGAGTTCCTGAACACTCTTTAAGTTCCGTTTGTCAACCCCCAGATGTGGGTCGAGGTAGCAAGGCACAACACACAGCACACTTGGAGAATGTGGGGAGGGCAACTGCACAACCCACTCCCAGAACGCTGCCAGTCCATCTCAAAGGCATATATTGTTTGCATGAGCAGAAGATGAAAACTTGTCACATTCCCATTAAGTGCAGAGCGGCATCTACTCCTTCCAAATGTGCAAGTGACAACTGTAACCTTCACGCCAATAATCTCAGCTGCGCCCAGGCGCAAACTGTGCAGGGCACAAAGACCCCAGGTCTGACCTGCTGCGCCCCCAAGCTTCAGGGGCTGCTGGTTCACTTCATTTTGGGGGGCGGGGCAGGAGGGAGAAGGGAAAGAAAGAGTGCTTTTCAAGGATCTACAACCAATAAAATCAGGCCAGGCCGCTTGCGAGGACTTACTTAAACTCCCCAAAAGAGAGGCAGCTCAAGGGCAAACAGTCTCTAATCAGTAGTGTGTGAGTTATTTGATAACTGCCTAGGTGCCGCGGACGCTTGGGCGGCTCCAACAGTTTCTGTGGTTCTATTTCTAGACAGAGGCCAGTTACACTCCAAAAGCGCCCAGCAACTTCCCTCAATTACATTTGTAATTTATATGCAATTGATGACTGCACTTAATCTCCAAGGGTATTAATAGCCTTTCCAAAAAATGACCCCCAAATCTTCGTGTGCGCCTTTGGAAGCGCCTGGTTGAAATTACAGTATTTCCTCTGCAGGCTGCCCGCCCCCAGCCCGCCCCACCCGAGCGCCCAACCCAATGAAGTTCATTTCCATGAAAGGTTCCGAAGTGAGGCTCCGCCTCAGGGCCCCAAAACTCCCTCAGCCTTTAGCCTTGGATGGCCCCCAGGAAGAACGGGACTACCTGTGCCATTGCCAGCCCCAGAGCGCCCCTGAAGGGTTGGGCGCAACAGTTGGCCACTGCAAGTTAACTGTGACCCAGAGGGGACTGACTGTTCGGCCTGAGAGGGTGCCGGCTCCGCCCTGAGAAGGCTTTTCCAAATACCCCTCGCACAATGCCGCCCCCACCTCAGCCAAAATCCGGTGAACTTTTTCACAGGCTAAACAATCTTCATTTGCATAACCATCTCCAAACCCAGATTCGGGTTTCCTGTAATCAGTCCTTTCAAAGGTCTGTAATTGAAAGTGCAATTAACCTTAAAGTGAGGTGAGAAAAAAAGAAGTGGGAATGGACCCTTTTTCACTCAACACCCTCCGGAAAACACCAGAACTACCAAAAGTCAGGGTTTGGAAGGGTGGGGTTGGGGGGTATCCTTTGCTTTTTCAAAAGAGTCTTGGAAAGTCGCTGCAGCAACTTAAAACTCCTATTCTGTGTGGTGGAGGAGAGGGGAGGAGAGGGTTTGAAAAGGACACATCGATGAAATACCAATTTCAGTTCCACGTTGTACGCCCCCTCGCCCCCCTCCTGGAATCTGGCAAGCTCTGGGATATTTTCCACTCGCTTTCGAGCCCCCAGCCAGCACCCAGCCTCTGGTCACCCACACAGCAAAGCGGGGAGCCCAATCATAAGTTCAACCCGGAAAAGGCCAGGGAACCAGTGACACACTCTCTCAGGGCCAAAGTCCTCCGGGGCTTCCCGGGACTGCGCTGAGCGCCACGGGGGTGTAGGTAGCGCGCGGGAGTGGCACCAGGCAACTCTGAGGCGCCCCTCCATTCTCAGCGCAACGGATGGGGGCCAGCGTGCCCGCGGGGACGTTCTGCGTAGGGCTGGCTCACTCTGGTTATCAGTCGCCGGCTCCTTCGCGGCTACCTGTGGCCGGTACGGGAGTCGGCGGAGTCCGAGGCCCCTTCTACAGGGGCAGTCTTCACGCCGGGTCTCGGGGGAGGAGGGGGGTGTCTCACCTACCGTTGATCTCATAGGCAGGGGCATCGTTCTTGTTGAAGCCTTTGGACACGTAGAGACGGAGCACTTCCGAGCAACTTTTCGACTTGTGCTCAGCGGCCAGCGGCGCGGCACTGAGTGCAACCAGAGTGCAGAGCAACGCGGGCAAGCCGAGCCGTGCCATGGTGCGGGCCTGGCGGGCGCGCTCCCTGCTTCTGGACGGGACACGACGCGGCGCGGCGGGCGCGGGGCGCCGGGGAAGGGGCGGATGAAGGATTTGGAGTTGGGAGTTGGAAGAGAAGAGCAGCAGCAGCAGGAGCAGGAGGAGGCGGTGCGGGGTGAAAAGTGGAGCTGGGCCTCGCGCGTCAGACAACGGTCCCCAGGACCGGGCGCCTGGCTGTGTTAAGAAGAGGGTGCCGATGCGGTGCGCGCGGCCCAGGGGCGCGAAGGCTCGAGCCGGGTACCAGAGACCCCGCGTGCCAGCGGACGGGGAGAACTGACCGCTGGCCGGCAGAAGCTGGGAGAAGAGGGGGAAGGTGGCAGCGCCGGGGGGCGTGCGGGTATAGGCGCGGCGGCGGGCTCTGGCTGCGCAGCTAGGCTGCCCGGTGCGGCTCGGCTCGGCCGGCTCGGCTCCGCTCGCTCTGCCCTCGGCGCACGGCTGTGCCCTCCTCGGCTCTGCCGCTGATTGACTGGCCGGCGTGCACCGCGACGCTCAGCAAACTTGGCCAAGCGGGCGGCACAGGGGGAGGGGGCAGGAGGGTGGGCCGGGACGGACGGGAGCACGCAGGGCCGGGCCGGGAGAAAACCTGGAAGCGGCGCTGGATCAGGAGCGGGCAGCTCCACTTCCTAGGGGGCCGCACTGGGCGCGCAGCGCTCCCTGCGCGACACGCCCAGCCGGACTCCTCCCTTCTCCCCTCCTCCCAGGAGGCGGGGAGCCTGCTTACAGCCCCCCACCTACAGAGAAAGGCCAACTTGTGTATACTAAAGGGCCTGAGTCCCGGGGGACTGGGCCGCCAGGGACTTGTCCCAAAGCCCACGTTCGAGCTCGAGGTCTTTCGAGCGCGGCCACCTGACCGGCTGCCCGCGGGCCAACACTGAGCAGGAGCCCTCTAGCTGTGATACCCGGTCCTCATGGCTGGCCCGCAGCCTGGTAGACGCTCCTACAGTTCAACTCTCCCGACCCTGAGGAGAAAGCACCCACATTACTTGCACTGCCTCGCTTCAGGCACTAGGGGGACTGGGGACTCTGTACTAACTTTAGATCCTCACCTGGCCGCCCCAGACCTGCTTCCCAACAAATGGTGCTTCTACAACAGAGTTGTTCCGGACCCTAGCAGGCAGTCTCCTTCCTTTTCTACCCCCTCCTCCTCCACTCCCCCCAACCCCCCCCCCCGCCAACACACACATACACACACCCGTTCTGCTACAATTGAACCCCGAAGCAGGAGAACCCTCCCATTCTCAAGGCGGTGGGGCAGTCAGTGTTGGCCGCGGAGATCTTGGAGACCTAGGCTAATCCTACCTGCTGCACTAGGAAAACAGGCCCAGAGAAGGGAGGCGATGTGCACCTAACACCCAGCAAGGGATTGATGCCTCCAGACAGACCACTAAGACACATGGAATAAAGGTACCTAGGGACCGCCCCCCCACCCAAGAAGCACAGTGGGGGGGGGGGAAACCCAAGAAGCTCAACTGCTAACACAGAAGTCAGAAGTCAGCAGCTTGGAACCCATCAGCTGTTCTGTAAAACGACCTGAAGCTCTGGTAAAGATTGACAACCTTGGAAACCCTATGGGCAGTTCTACTCAATCCAATAGGGTCCCTAAGAGTCAGAATTGTGAAGTGCCATTGAGTCGATACCGACCCATAGCGACCCTGTATAGGGTTTCCGAGGAGCAGCTGGTGAGCTTGAACTGCTGACTTTGCCGTTTAAACGGCTTTGCAGTCTGGCACACCAGGACTCCAAGAGTCAGAATGGCAATAGGTTAATAGAGGGAACTCTCCTCCACACCTCTTATGCCCACAAGCCTCTTTGAAGACAGTAACTCACACCTCTCTGGGACCCAGACTCCACTTAGCCACCAGAAAACTGGGGATGTGTAAGCCTTCCCACTTTTCAAGCTTTGTCAGATTCCATTAATGAGTGTTTTTGAAACTCCCAGCATTCTTCTAAAGACAGTTGTTATTGTTACAGTCGGCTTTAAGAGGTTAGGGTGAAAGTACCTCAGACAGCCCAGGAGTGTGCTGGGAACTGGGCAGATAAAAGGGGCTGGGACTTATTATTTGGCTAGACTCTCAATTCCCATAAAATTACCTAGGTGAAGATATGAACCATCATTACAATTATCGTCCTCTTAGGGTTTAGGAACCTTCCTCACTGCTGTTTGTAAAACACATTGACGTAGTTTGCTAATGAAGAGCTGTAGAAAGCAGTGGACCAGTTGTGTTGAATGTCCACTGCCATTGCTTTTACATTTTATGAACTTGTGGAGACCATCTGCATAAACAGATTGTGACGGGTCCATAATTGCAGAACAGTCTGAAACTAGGAGAGCCATTTTCCTAAATATACAAACTCATCTACAAATGTATTTCATGCCGTTTTTTGAGGGGCTTTCAAATGGTCCAAATTTTCTTTTACCTATCATTGATTGATGTGTTTACTTACAGATGTTGTTCCCCCAGGAGAATTGGATCCGTGATGCAAGCCACATTCATAATGAAACGAAACCCAGTGGCCCTAAGAGAGAAGAACACCCCCAAATCACAGAGGCCAAATCAGACAGCTGCTTTTCACCCCAAGTCCTAGGGGAACTCACTCCTTATCCCTCCGATTCACTTTTGCTCTTCCTCTTCAGTAACCCAAACTAGAGCCTTTTTCCACCAGAAACAGTAACCTCTGGCTAGAAACAGATCTAGACAAGTCTGAACTGTACCACACAAGGCAGGAACCCCAAGCCCTGCTCGGAGGTGGCTCCCACATCAAAGACTCCTTTCATTTAAATACAAACAGGGTGAACAACTGGCGATCTACAACCAAATACCATCCAGAAGGGAAGCTATTCAGTTGGTCCAGGAGCTCCTCCTTCCCTGCCTTCCACAGGATCAGCTTGCTAATGGGGATGCACTTTGTTGTTGTTGTTGTTAAGTGCCCTTGAGTCGGTTATGACTCATAGTGACCCTGTATAGGGACTCTGAGGAGCAGCTGGTGAGCCTGAACCGCCGACCTTGCAGCTTAAACCAACGCTGTGGCCCAGCGCTTTAACCAACAGCCCCACATCAGGACTCCGAGGATGCAGCTACTCTCTGTAAATTTTCTGAACACCAAAGAGTGGATTGGGGGCTGCATGTCAAATGCAAAAATCAAAGACTGCTCTCTCAGGTAAATTTACCCTCATATAGCACCTTATTTTTATAGTGGTAAATACAGGTAACATAAAATTTACCATTTTAACCATTTTTAAATGTACTGTTGAGTGGCATTTAATACATTCACAATGTTGTGCAACCACCACCACCACTATTTAGTTCCTGAACATTTGCACCACTGCAAAAGGAAACCCTAAGGAGCTCTGGTATGCTAGGAATCAGACTGCGAGCCTCAAGGTCAGCAGTTCGAAAGTACCAACTGAGAAAGATGAGGCATTCTGCTCCTGTAAAGATTTACAGCCTTGGAAACCCTGTACAGGGTCGCTATGAGTCGGAACCGACTCCGCAGCACACAACAACAACAAAAAGGAAACCCTAGTCTCCTTTCCCCAGCCCTTAAGCAATTACTAATCAGATTTCTGTCCCAATGAATTTGCATGTCCTGGGTGTCCTTGTTGTTTTTAGATGTCATCTGGTCAGCTTCCCCTCATAAAGACCCTTTGTACAACAGAACAGAACTCTGCCCAGTCCTGTGCCATCCTCACAATTGTTATGTTTGAGCCCTTTGTTGCTGTCACTGTGTCAAACCATCTTACTGAAGGTCTTTGTCTTTTCCGCTGACCCTCTACTTTAACCAAACATGGTATCCTTCTCCAGGGACTGGTCCCTTCTGAAAACATGTCCAAAGTGCAAGATAGAAAGTTTCACTAATGTTGAGAATATATTATGGATATTCATCTAAATGAAATCATATAATAAGTGATCTGTCATGACTGGCTCCTTTCACTTAGTGTAATTTCTTCAAGGTTTATCCGTGTTGTAGAATATTTCAGTATTTCATTCCTTTTTATGGCTCAGTAATGTTATACTAGGAGCTCTGGTAGCGTAGTGGTTACGAATCAGGCTGCGAACTGCAAGTTCAGCAGTTCGAAACTACCAGCTGTTCCGCGGGAGAAAGATGAGGCTTTCTGCTCCCGTGAAGATATACAGCCTCGGAAACCCTGTACAGGGTCACTATGAGTCAGAACCGACTCCATGGCATGTAACAACAACAACAATATTATACTGGAATCCTGGTGTGGCGCTGTGGGTTAATGCGCCAGACTGCAAAGCCGTTTGAACTGCAAGGTCTGCAATTCAAGCTCACCAGCTGCTCCTAGGAAATCCTATACAGGGTCGCTATGGGTCGGAACCGACTCGATAGCACTTAACAACAACAGTATTATACTATGTGATGGGTGGAGGGAGGGAGGAAGGGAAGAATGGATGGAATCAGTCCCTAGGTGGTACAAACAGCTAAGCACTTGACTACTAGAAGGAAGGTTGGAGGTTCAAATCCACTCAGAGGTGTTTCAGAAGCTGGCCAGGTAATCTGTTTCTGAAAGACCCTTGAAAACCTTATGGAGCAGTTCTACACTGCACAGACAGGGTCACGAGGAGTTGAAATTAACTCCACAACAACTCATAACAACATATGGATTGACATACCACGTGTTGGTCATATAATACTTTACAGTGTGCAGAGTACTTCCCCGTGCTAGAAAATGTGATTGTTTGGGATGTTTTTAATAGATAAACTAATTGAATCTCATCATTTAGGATGAGCAACAAACATGCAATTGACTGACCTGGCCCTGTAGAAATTTTTCTACTTCAGAACAATAAATGTCCATTGGGCATCTACTGTGTTCCAGATGATGCTCAGTCATATAAATCTAAAGGAGGTTACAGTTTAATATACTGGGTAAGAACTATCCCTAAAGGCTTGCTTAGCTGCAATGCATTTATGGCATACTTGGTGTCTTAGTTATTTAGTACTGCTATAACGCAAACGGAGTCCTGGAGTGGCGCTGTGGATTAATGCGCTGGACTGGACGGCAAA